TCCATGTTCAGTCTTTACAAGTTAGACCAACTGCAGCATCTTATCAAAGTTGTATTGGTATGTTCTGATGTATATATACTGATTATGTTTTTATTTATCTCTGAGAATAGCGAGGAAGGGGTCAATGTGAAAATACAAAGAAAGTATATTGGTCTCCAAAATAAAATCAAATCTTTATTTTCACTCATTATATTTTAGTGTGCTTTTTAAAAATTTTTTTTAAATATATCATGTCAAAGCTGAACCACCATTATTTCCATTTCTATTAAGCTGACTGGAATTCCTGATGACTTTTAACTGCTCCATGCAGCTATGTGATTGTGTTGACCTATCTGAAAGGAGATTTGCTTCAGTGGACTTGAATTTAAGGTATACGCCGCACCTGAGCAGCTACGTAATCTCATGTTGTTATTCTAGCAGGCTTTAGTTTAGCACACAGGCCTTGCAGTCTGACCTGAGCTGTGTTTGTCAAACAAAAGTAAATCACAGCGTGGCGGGGGGGGGCAGAACAGAAGGATAGTGGTTTGGTGTTGCTTTCCATGATCTGCGTAATCAGTTTATGAGCTCATTTTATAAGAAGTATACCTGCTTTGAGATAAACTATTAAATGTGAACTCCTTTAGCGCTCGTGTCGAAACTTGTCAAGTTGAAAATTAAGCAAAGGTTCTGTTTAATTTGCCGTGTGACAGTTGTTAGCATTTAGATTTGTAATGCCGAATGCAGACGTCCTTTAAAGAAGATGACATTTGTCAAGAAGGTTAAGGGTCTTAAAGGAAAATCAAGATGTTTTGTTTTTCATTTCATTCTTTCGCAATATATCTGAGAGTCGACGAGCATCATGGGAGCTCATATGTTACTACATCGTGCCGAGAGGTCGGAAGGGGGGGGAGGCAGAGCTTCAAACACCAGACGTTCTGCTTCGTAACGACTTTGGCTCCGGGGATGATCCCAAGTTGAGAAGCTCGTCATGGTGTACAGGACAGGCCTGAGAAATCAAAGAGCCAGAGCAGCACAATGGCCTTGAATCATTAGCCAGCATAGAAAAGACAAGGTCATTATTGAGACAAGCTGCTTTTCTGTGAAGCTGCTGCCAAAATTGTACCTGAACTTTAAATTCGTTGAAAGCTTTTATTTCACTTAAAAGTCCATGTATAAACCGTCTATCACTTTTTTTTTTTTGTATTTTTTAGTATCCCCCGCAGAGTATACGTTTTGTCCCTACACTTCCTGTGACACCTTGCATTCATAATGTCTTCCTAACTCCTTTGTTGGCTTTGAACAAACACTGGAGGTGATGTAGGCAAGCTTCCGTCCATTCTCTGATAAATCAAATGCTTGGTCCTATTGGTGTAGATGTCTGCTGAACGGAGCAGACAACAACCCAGTAGCTTCACAAGTGTCCGGCTGTATGGCGGTAAACCTCGTAAATCACTCCATAATGGATCATTTAGGAAGTCAATAAACGGGGAAGAGAGACTGTCTGCACAATAGGCCTTGTGCTTCACTTATCACCTAACATGTGTCTTCCTTGGCCCTTAAGGTCAGAGGTCAGCCTGGTTTAGGGATGGGACATAATCCGTTAGGGTGCACGTGTGTGTGCGCAGTCAATGCAGTCTCTCCCTAAGCCTTCATGGATTATATTACTAGCTCAGATGTCACACTGAGACTGATTATTTAGACATTGTGAAAAAGAGCGTCCAAAAGAAAATAACCCGTTGCCCACAAGCCAAGATCAATGTTTTACCTCACGGCTAAGTTGGTTTTATTTGTTTTTTCATATGTGAATTAATACAAATGTATCTAGGCTCTCGCTGTGTGGTGGGGATTTGTTTTGATGTTCCACGTAAAATGTCCGTCAGCAATATCACACATAGGATAAATCGTAGCAGGTCTCGCGCTGTTTGAGAGGCCGTCGTAGGGACAAATATGCAAAGCATGTGTTCTGTTGTTTAGGTGGCGGACTGCAGCTAGTTTACCTGGATCGCTTTCAATAAGTGTCCCCATGCCGCAGGAGGGTTCCGCACGCCGAGGTGAAGCGAACGCCGCCCCGACGGGCCCGTCACAGCAGATGTTCCAGATGCAGCTGAGTGTCAAATGATGTTTCGGGTGGCGGCATCGTCCATCTTAGCTCTTTTAATGTGGGAGCTCCTCTGCACCCTGTCCCTGCTGGCATGACGAATCGAGGCACATCGACGGTTACACACTTTAAGTAGATTTGTGCAAATGACACTGAAATATTGACTTTTAAAATGGCCCAGACCTTTTGAAAGCGTGGCAGTACCATTTCATGTGCATGAGTGGAAATGTAACACACAATATGTATGTGAATACATCTTTGAATGCTGCGACCATACTGATTATGTTTAGTTCATACTGATGTGTAATTCATCACAGTTTCTCCAGTAGGCGCAATTTCCCCAATTTTCCACAGCCTGAGGCTTTCAAAGTCACGTCTAGACTGATGCATATATTATACCAGGGACACCCATTCACTAAGGACTGTGTCTGAGCGCGCAGCATATAAAGAATCTTTTCATTGTTGTGCACAGTTTGGTATAAATTAAACAGCTACAAATAGGGAAGGCCTGAAGAAAATAGCAGTATTGTGACTGAAATGTTGACATTTTATTACTTTAGCATTTCATCTTACATTACACTCTGTTGCACTTCATAGATAAATACTGACCTGAACTCTGCTACATTTATTTTACAACTTTATTTATGTAGTTGGGTTTTCTGATTCATTTTCATAGATTAAACTAGCCAAAAGCAGACAAAGTAGCAGTATCTTAACATGCTTATTCAGAACTTCATAGGCCTTTATAATAGAACAAAAAGGAGTCAGCTGCATGCAGACTGTATAAAAGACTAATATGTATAAAGCCTGTGTATACTGTCAGTCGTTAGTGTTTAGATAGTTTAAATACTTTTTGCTGACTTTAAGTGGTTTTCTTAGAAGTCGGTTTGAAAGTTTTTATGTACTATTTTTATTAGTACCATATCTGCAGAAATGGAAATATAAAACACTTTTGTGGTATTTTTATTTTATTTTTTAAGTTCTTTATTACCTCTTTATTCTGAATTAACTGAAAACTCTTTTACAGTGTATTTTAAGATGTGTTTGAAAATGTAAAGACATTGTTAAAACTCAGTTAAAAAAAATTGGATGCATAAATAAATTAGATGCAGTTGAAATCTTTATGGACATCACATTTCTATTGATATTATTTATGAGGATAAATTTAATAAATGTCTTGTGACTGTCAAAGTTTTTTTGTGTGTGTGGTCACTGACCTTGGGGGTCAGAGTTACTTAAACTAGTTTCACCGCACTACCACGTCTATTAGCACAGTCACTGATGTGCCTTCTGTGCTGTGAAACCTATAATTAGTCCCAATATACCCTTTTGACCCTTTCTAACCGACTAGTTACCCTCGCCTAACCTTATCACGTGTCCCGGGGGTACATATGCAGTCTAAGGAATAAACTCCTACTACCTGGCTGGTCTTCAACAACCGCCGGCCGGATTCAGCTCACACCGAATGGCTTTACGCCTCCAGACCGCTGCTTATCCCTACTGGACACGCATGAAAGAAAATAAATAATAATAATTAAAAGATTTTGTGAATTATTTTTTGATGCGGGTAACATATTTGCTTTGCTTTTCGTAAATTTTTTTTTTTTAAATCGTTTTTAGTGATGCATTGTGACTCCATGTGGAAGAAATTTAACAGTTAAACCGTTAGGTGGGTAATGCAACACCACACACACACACACGCGCGCGCGCGAAAAAGGCCTCTACCGTTTCTAAAATTAAAACTATACCTTGTGAATGTAAATAATACACATACATAGGTAGAGTAGCATGCTGAGTGAATGTGTATTTTTGTTTGTTAAAGAAACAAATCAGCTTTTCTTTTGCTAGTGTTGGGCAGCTATTACACATCCGGGTCCTAATTAGGTTTCTAACGAAACCTTGCTGGCGCGGCCTGTGTATAAACCTTTGTTGCAAACGCAATAACTTTAAACTTTAGTCCCCACCCAAACAAGCGAAAACAATTATACATCTAATTAGCGTTTAAATGAGTGGAAACATTATTTAACCTCTGTCACCTTTACAAGCCATTAAACAGTCAGGCCAGGCGCCCAAGGGCATCCCCCTCTGCTAAATGACGGCCGGCTTCGAGAGAGAGAAAAAAATACATTATTGAAATGAATCATTAGTTTACGTTTCCTTTTGTATCGTGACAGGCACAAATCCCAAAGCAGAATTTCCCCCATTTCAGACAGATTAACCTTGACAACAAAGCATTCCTCAGAGGGCTTCAAATAGGAGATGGAAATGACCGCACAGATAAGAGGAGGGTCACATTCTCAAAATATCGCCCCACTGTCCTATTATATATGAGCAATGATATCCTTTTGACGGGAAAACGACAAATGTGGGGGTTTTGTTTTTTGTTTTGGCCTGTTTGCGCCCCATACAATTTATTTTCTATGTTTTGATAAGTAAGTGCCTGAAAACATGAAAATTACTTCATAAGTATAGTAATAGCATGACATTCAAAATTCATTGTCTATGAGTCATACATATGCAATTTGTATCTTGTTGTATCAATAGTACCAAAAGGTTTTAATTTTAAAGACTTTTACTGCCGCCTTGCAATAAATTTAATGCATTAAACTACTAAACTGCAGTAATGTGAACAGAGCCGATTTACTCTACTTGAGGATATAAGATGTGTGGTTGATGAATGCATTTGTGTATGAGTGTGTGTTTTTATGAATCCAGGTGCAGATTTTAACATTTTGAACTATAAAGGGCTCTTATGTTTACACAGCTTCCAAGTCATGCCTGCCAGTGACTGAAACAGCAGCAGGGGACACCGCGGCCTATTTCAACAGGGCAAATCCGGTTGGAGAAACTTGAACAATGCTGATAGAGAGGAAACCCTCTTCAGCATGTGAGTGGAAGACTGGCACAAATACCTCTGTTTTTATGAATTACAAGAATTTAATGTTTATTTTATAGATACAGAACAGTCATTCTGCTTCATTTATTTACTTTGAATTGCTGCAAGTCAGTGCCATGGTACAAGCTTCTCAGAGCGGCTCAAGAGTGTTTCAAAAATCAAATCTTGACGTTTTTTTCTTGTTTTTTTTTTTCCTCAAACAAAAACATTTCAATGTGTTTCGGCACACCCTCTCTCTCTGATGACATGCAAACGTCTCGTCTACCTAGAAAGGCTGATGGACTATATAACATATGGCTTTTTTTGAAAGCAATAAAAACAAGGCAAATCAAAAAGTGCATCCAACACACAAAAAAAAAAAAATCAATTCCAGTCTGTGATGAAAGTCTGTGTTAAGTTGAGGTCTCTCCTCTGTCCTCACTTTGCTGGCTCAATGTCTGCACTGCTCAGGTAGGAGGTGGCCTGATGTAGACCTATTGCCATTTTCAGTTCAAAGGTCAAAGCAGACCTCTTCAGGGGCCTAGAACAGATGCCCATTGTTGACGCAAAGATGCATTTCCTTTAAATAAATACAGCAGGGTTTATCCAGCAGAAAGGAGTTTCAGCCCGTGATTGCACCCTGCAGGTTGCTTAAGCCATCGACAGGCAGGATTGTGTTTCCTGTCTGTTTCCATTCCCACAGTGCTGCTTGCTGTTAGCCCTGGTGGACAGCAGTCATTATCTGGGCCCATAGTCATAGTTAGAGGGGCCGCTGGTGGCTGAATACATGTTAGTTGTGGCAGGGTTCATGTGGTGATGGTATGTGTGTCCTCTGATACTAGGTAAAGGGTAGGGTGACGGCCTGGTCTTGGCTCCCAGGTAGTGTTCATAGGTGGTGGGGTACTTGTAGGGGTGGTGGTGCAGGGTGTCCGGGGGTAGAGGGTGGGGATCTGGCCGAAGGTCGTGGGGAGGGCTGGGCCGGCCGCTTGTGATCGGGACGGCGTGCAGGCCTCCTGGGACGGGCAGGGCGGGGCTGAGGACCCGGGACATCAGCTGGTGAGCTGGGTCTGCGTGTATAGGCGTGCCGCTGGGGTCTCGCTCATATTCCCGCCTACTGTCTTCTGTGAAGGTAAGGAGACAAGAACAGTCAGCCAACATGCAAATACCCACCACTAACAATATTTTCATAGTTTCTGCACTGAAAAGCACAATAAATTACTGCAGGTACAAGTTTTTGAATACTCAGTGTTTTTGACTTGTAGGTGTTAAGAGATTGCATATAATGCTTAATAAATAAGTGCATTTTTTACAAGTGTAAGCAATGTTTAGGTAACTATGAAGTGTACACAGAAGTCTGTCACATTATTGTTTAAATAAAAAATTCTGCATTTCAGTCGAAATGTTGCAGAATAAATTCCAGACAGCAGCTTCCCAGCTTATATTTCTCTCAGATGAAATGTACCATTTAAAGCTAATAGGAAGCTCCCACTTTTATAAACATTTAATTGATTTAATTCTTATTATAGAACTAATAAATACGTCAGTCATCGTCATGTCAAAGAAATCTAATTTCCATTGCCTGCTTTACTGCGGTATGACGCTGCGGTCTGTTATAAAACCACATAAGAACCCCTATTATGTTTGCAGTGGATGACATTGACTGGCTGATATTTGATGTTTAATTAAAAGCCATCACTGGCCTGATGCTGCAAATGCATCACTGGGCTTCTGTTAAGGATAAGGTGGGGAAAGAAAAAAAAAAGAAAATGAAAGAAGAAGTGAAGTATACTGACAGCTGAAATAAAAGATGTTATTTAGAAATGCTGAATGAATTTTCAGGACTATATTTCATGTTTGATAGCAGGCGTGAGTTTTGAAATGAAACAAAGAGCGAGCTGCAGACCTTTCTCTGTGCCGTTCTGCTGAGGGGGAGATGACATTGGGTTTCTTGTTCTGGCAAAGGCACTCATTATTGGCAGAGAGCCTGGTCTGTGATTCCTGGGCCTGGAGCAGGGAGAGTGGATTCAGTTACTCATTTAATGAATGTCAAAGGCACAGTTTCTTTATTATGTATTAAAATGATCCACATTTTAATCTCGTGGATGAAATGTACACAGAATACAAATGTGGAACAGCCGTACATTACTCAGATTATGTTTTTGTTAAATAATAAAAACAATCCTCTATAGTTCTGTGCAATTTCTCATTGCTGGTTTTAAAAAATGAAGTGATCTGAGTCATTTCCAGACATGGAAGCAGTATTTCCATTTGTTGAAGTTGTCTGAGTAAAGTATTTGGGTGGAGTTTTGCTACCTTGTCTCTAATGCCAGTGTCTGATGATCTGTTAGTGACAGAAAATCACACTTGGCTGAGCTTCAAACAATATCCAGTAATTTCTGAAATTTACATCACCTTGTGTTCTTTCCTGTGGCAAGTTCCACCCCATCTGCCCCATGTGAGACATTAAACAAGCAACTAAACTATTTTGCAAAAGCTTTCTGGCCCTGGCCTGCTCTGCAGTGCAATTTTTTTTACAATCATGTGGAAACATGCCAATAAAATGGTGGCCTAATATATTTCATTGGAAAGCTCACCAGTCCTCTGGGTCACAGTCCCTGAAGCCCTTTGCAAAGGGGTTACTGGCTATCTTCAGCTGTGTGATCTGAAAGTAAAGGGCAGCATAAAATCAGTCATAACGCTAAACACAACGCCTTTCCCGCTTACATCACAGCATTTACTTATTAGAAAGGATAGCAGCGAAAGTCAGGTGTAATACACAGAACACTCTGTCATAATAACACACACAGCTGTCTTAAATGCAGGTTTGATGGCTACAGTATCATGTATATTTCATTTATTATTATCATTACTTTTATTACTATTATTATTATTGTTGTATGTAATTGTGCTCTTCTATAGCATTTACACCCATATAATGTCATATACAGACAGGTTTGCATGTGGGGTAAGAAAAGAGTCAGTTATTATTTTTAATATCACTTTAATAGCTTTCTTATCATAATGATCATCATCATATAATTTTATTATATTTCATGTTAAATGTATGTGCATTTTTTTTTATTTTAGCTCAATTTACATTTTATATGGAAGTAAGAATCCTTACGAAAAGACGCAGAGCGCCTTCGTGCGTAAAAGTAATTTATTTACCATTTGCCATAAACATTCAGCATCAAAACAGAAGCGGCTTGTTTTTAGTCTGTGTCCTATCTCCGTGAGCTAACGGGTCTATTAATCACCGTCACGCAGCGGCTCCCACACACTTGGATTCGGTGTAAATAGCTGAAAGGAAAACTGAAGCCAGGTTCCTTCTATCGTCGTTATGAGTCGCTCCAAATAAGCGATGAGCGCACTGATGTTTGAATCTAAACAGACACGGGGACTGATGGAAAACAGAGTAGGGAGCACGCGGGGATGGGGTGCAAGCTGAGCTCACAGAGCAGAGGCAACATTTGGGCGAAAAAAGCGGAATTATTTTTTATTTTTTTACGCAAACGCATAAGACAGCCTCGATTAAACAGTAGTTAAAAATACACATTTTAAAGTCTTTAGTTACTGAATTCGGTTTAACGTAACACGCTTACATTACCTCTCTGTGCTGATACGTTATTCATGCCATAACTGCACTGCGCGCATCATGTTTGAACAACACACGGTTTCTGTGTGCGTTTAGTTGCTGGCTTCTCTTGCACGACAGACCGTATTTGAATTTAGATGGAGGGTCATAAAAGTCGCTTACCCTGTGGTTCTGGTACGCTGTGACCGCTGTGAAGCGGGTTTCCTCAAAAACAAAGGTTTTGTAATTCTCCTCTGCGTATTTCTCGCTGTCCTTCCGGGGATCCACATAAACCACATGAAACCTGGGCTGGTAGCGGTGCATGGAGTTCAGAATGATCTGTAAAAAAAAGCAAAGCAAGCCTGCTCAAGGACCGTCGACTTAAAGTGTACAAAAAGATCATCTTTGATCGCATGCTTCAGAAAAAACCCAAAACAAAACATGCGATTGAAAATGATCACTGACGAGAGATTTAATGAATAATTAAATAAATAATCGACAATGTTAATTTAAATTGCACTGGAATAAGGTAAAACGTGGTCAAGACCAAATGAGACCCGGGTTCGATCTATGAAACGTTTTTACCGCGTCGGCCATCTCCACGATTGTATGAGCAAATTTGGTAATCTAAATAACACAATACCCCGAGGGAGCCTGGGTCTCCCCTTAAAATCCGTTGGCATGCAGATACAGTTCTAGCTAAACAGTAATATTGTAAATATTTAAGGGCCGACTGAGAATATATCATGTGAATGGCTCTCATTTAAACACCGATTAGGCAATAACAGAAGAAAACTAACTTTCTGGTGAATCCTCGGGACACTCGATCTGTTACAGATCATTGTTTTTCAGTATTTGCTTAAGTCCCCCAAACTCTCCTGATTTTACATCTAATGCAAAGACAAGGAAGGGTGGTGGAAGGGTTTGAAATGATTTCCAGTGGTGAAATACTCAACTTCCTTTCAGGGATTTTTGGAGGAAAGCCTCGTGTGCGGTGCCGTGTTTGAGGACAGAAAATAAGCGTTTGGCAAAATCAAAGTTGTAGAGAAAATATCGTTTTTTTAACTACTACAAAATAACTTATATCGATCAGTTTTAGGGGAAGAAAATGTATCTCTCTGTATTATTATTATTATTATTATTATTATTATTATTATTATTATTACCGGGATTTAAAATAAATACATAAATACAACAATTCTTTTGATTTTTTTGTATTTTGACCGCTTAATGTGGAAATGTGATTTTATGTTAAATTATGCTCTCTAATTAATCAAACAGGCCATCATCTATACTATCACTGTAATCAAATAAATGGTTTTATATTTTTCTTAAATGATTTTCTTAGGGGGAAGAACACTTTATCATTTAACGAGAACTCATGAGGACAAAGTACCCGCTCGCTGTGTGATTTTTCTGGCCAAGCTTGGGCCTCTTGAGCACTCATTTAATTCCAGTTTTGTACTCACATGTCCGTTGTCATCCAGAAGGTTGTTAGTTAACTTTAGTTTATCAAATGAGACGATCTGCTTCATCCACTGTGCGCCTTTGGCCGGAGAGTCTGGGTGGTAATGGACCCTGCCCGGTGTGGCGGGATCAGCTTTGCCTGCCACCAGCCACGACGAGCTGTGGAAAGCATACCTATGAGGGCCATAAAAGGAAATTAAGACCCAAGGTTAGAAGTTGCTCGCTTAGGCATGCAAAGTGTCTATGCATGTGTTGGCGTGTATGAAGAGTAACGACGCTACATAACGCTACCAAACGCTTTAAGATAAAGGGAAAAATAAGACACTTAATTGATCGTTAATGTCAGTATTTAGTCACCAACATGTTTGCAGTATAACGTGGATAATTGTTGAAAAGGATGTGTCTCATTGTTAAGTTCTTAAGTTGTGTTTTCCAAGTTTTTATGCTCATTTTGCTCGGTACCCCAGGGTGGGTCTTAAAAAACCAAGACAAGCACAATGTTTTCCTGTCCCGCCCTGACTGAAAGCGGTGTTTTACTTGTCTGAAGACACATGAAAAGTTACCTGTAACGTTTGTCATCTACAGGCAGGAAGTCCATCAGGAGCATGTAGTCTGCCATGGGATCCATCCCAAATATTTTCACTTGGAAAGTTGGAAACATTCTCCTGACAGAGGAAGAAAAACACGGGGCGACTGTTAAAAAGCAGCAGCTTTAAAGCGGCTTTTAATGCTTTACGCGCTATTTTTCTAAAACCAATCATCAATGTGTGTGTGTGTGGACGGTGAGTTAGTGTAAGAAAACAAATGATTATGAACAAGTGTGTGTGTGTGTTTTTTTTTAAAGTGTGCAGTTTGCAGAAAGAAATGTTGCTCGAGCTTATTTTTGCCCGAGCTCGAGGCTACAACAAAGTTTTTAAGCTCTTGGAAATGACGTGATTTAGCCCGTGCGTAACCGGATAAAAAGTCTCCCTCATCTCAACGGAACTTTGCGTTTGTTGCCATTTAGCTGCGCTGTTGTAACTTCTGGCTGTAACTTCTCTCCTGGTTTTTTGATGAATTCCAGAAACATGAAGATCTAATCACATGTGAATACACACGTGCTCATAAGCGTCACGTGCTTTTTACAGAGTACGGTTTAGAGTTTTTGAACTTTCCATCATCTTGACTATAGGAAAAATAAATAAATAAATATATGTATATATAAATTGAATCTGCAAGCAACAACAAGAACACTCCTGCATACTGATCCACTGATTATGTTATTTTCTTAACAATCATTTTCTCAGTTGACAGCAGAAAATAGGCCGAATCCCTTTTGTGTGTTTTGCTCTGCGTTTTAGTCTACGCTCTGCCCCCTGCACTGTGGCGCTTGTTTTCTCCCCATGCACTACACGGGTTACTATGTAAGAGAGATCCATATCCTCCAAGAACATGAGCCGAAAGTTGAGTAATCCGCCGAGACAGTGAAAGGGATCCTAAAATCAACGCTCAATTAACGTCAGTGTTGTGGCTAGGTGAGGCTGAAGGAGCTTTTAAAGTGCTGTGCTGCAGATCTCCTTTCTCCTGTCACGCAGTGCACGGCGTGGAAACTCAACCCACACTTTTAGGATTTGAGCAATTATGTCATGCCACTTTACATAGATGTGTTTTTTTAAATAAAATAGGAAGCATGGTTAGCACGATGAATGTTAATGTGGAACACTATCGGCTCTTCCTAGGGGTCAGAGGTCAGGAGAAATGTGTTTTGCCTAAAGAGACAAGAAGAATGACGTGTTTTTTCAGCACATTTCAATAAATGATCATATTGTGTTTTATTAATAACCAAATCCAATAGATTTTAGTCCATTAAATGCAACCAAAACTGAGCGCGTGGAGCGGCGCTTCCATAATTTTGAAATCGAAGAAAAAAAGAGAAGAAAAGAAAAGAAACCACTGTAATCGGCTTGTAGGATCTGATCCTACATGTAAAGACTCATAAATTAAAGACCACAATGTTTTTTTTTATAACAGCAGTGCGTAAAATTGGGGCAGGATGAGGGCGAAGAAGCCCAGGAGAGTCACACTTATCCTTATTAGATCTATAAAACGCAACTGGATGAGATCAACATGGTGTTTACAGCCGGCACACACACACACACACACACACACACACACACACACACACACACACACACACACACACACACACACACACACACACACACACACACACACAAATACAAGCCTCCTTGTATTTGACCTTGTTTTTGAAACATCTCCAGAAGCTTAAAACGTGTTGTTTGTTTTAAAAAACCGAAGCGAGAAAAAAAAATACATTTTCTAAAGCAGTATGATTTGATGGACAGAGACGTGTGAAAAGTCCGCTGAATATTATTTAAAAAACATCACAGGCCTTCATGTGCATGGCACAAAGTGATGTTTTGCGTCAGCTGCCTGAGCCCATGACGTTATTTAAAGTAGGAAATTATATATATATGACTAAATAGCAAGAGTGAAAAAATATGGAGTATTTTCTTAATGAAATTGTTTTTATTACATTATATAACTTTATTTTCTAGTCTATACTTACAGTTGCTAATCTGCACAGACATTCGCAGAAAAAATAGTTGCTTATCCTTTCCCGGTTTGGTTCTTTGCTCAGATGTTTCAGTATATATTAAAGTATTCTGTCCTATATTATTTTTCGAGTCTGCATGAGGAGAAAAATAACTCCAGCGCCTCTGGCCTGTGTGTAATGGGTACTCACCTGCCGGCCTTGGTGACGATCATCTCTGTGCCTAGCTGGTTAAATTCATCCCATAAAGCTTTCATCTCCAACTGAACGTTAATGTTGGCAACTTTCGGGTTCTTCTTCACTATAGTTTTGCTGTTCGGCGTAGAGCTTGAGGACGATGAGGAGCAATTGGCGGTCCCGTTGTCGTTCGACGGGGCCTGGCCCTGGTTGGATCCCGGATAGTTGTAGTTGTGTTGGGCGGCCGGGCAGGGCTCGAAATGGGACTCATGCTGACTGTAGGGGTCCCCGGGGGAGGGAGAGAGGTGGTAGCCCCCCGGCGTGTTGAGGCTGCTCAGGCTGCTCGTCGTGAAGGCTGCAACATCGCAAAAATGGGACAGCTGCGTCAGCCACGGACTGGATATGGCTGAAATCATCCCAGAAAACTAGATTTTACTAAATATGCCTTTCACTTCAAGTCGATTATAACACAGAGTGAAAAACAGAAGCAGGATTCAGCGATCCCCAGAGGAAAGCGTCAAGCACGAACGCACTCGTTTCGGTTTAAAAAGTTTCCGTCTCGGCTGTTCGGCAGTCCCTGAGGTTTCATCCACTGCCAGCATACTACGGGCTGCCTGATCTAAAATAGGAGACCTCCGAAAAGCAAAGAAAAGAAAAGTTTTCCCCAAAAAGCGGTGCGGGTCCCGTAGAATCTCCGAACTATTCGAGGAAACTAACTCGGAGTGCGCATGAATTGGTTTTCGCTCGTGATCGATCGCGCTGTGAGCGGCCTCTGTTGTGCGCTGCTGCAGTGTGTTAACACTGCACACCAGTCTCCTCTCTTATCTGACGCAGAGGGCCTCCCCTTTGCGATAAAACCGGTTCTTATTTCTATTTAGATAAGGAACTGCAGGTAATGTGCCTTTTCTTCGCCTTGCAACCAGACTGATTGACAGAGAAGTGCGCCCCTTTTTAATGGCTTTTCCGGCACCCATTTAACTTTTGGATAAGGATATCGCCCACATCACCCCCGTTAACAAACAATGGAGGATGTGCCAGGCAGAGGGGAGTGCAAACGCTCTACAAGGTAAACACACATTGATTTGCATGAACAAACAAACAGGCAGCAGGTGACTGCAGCCCTCTCCTGATGGACAAATAGACGCATGGGATGGATATACAGCCCCCCACCCCCCTCCAAGCTGGGTATGATTATTATAGTCTGTTTTTACCATTACGCACGGGGCGCCCGTGTAAACCCTCCTCCTCTTGGCTTCATGCTGAATGTATGTGATTCTGTCCACGAATTAAAGTTGTTTCTTGGTACACCACTTTGGGATTTTGGCACGTTTGAACCCCCCCCACGCTACCCACATTCTGACTGTTTTGTTTCCAGACTTCTCCTCAGTGATGGTGAACACGGCGATTAAAATCTGCAGAATTTTTTTTCACAGTGGCTCAACTCTGTGACACTTAAAAAAGAAAACAAAACTGTAATTTCCTTCCATACTTTCCAAAACAACGCACTCATGCGCGGTTTTGCGCATTTCAAAAACGTCGGAGAATCAGGCAAACCCAAAGTTGCTAGGGGGAGAATTTCGGGTGAGACGTACACATGCTACATCAGCAAACACAATTACCTTCCATTTCCCGGGTGACAGTGCTGTAGTGCATTTTAAAGGAACTGTGGTTATGCAGGTCTGACTTGTCGAGGCCGGTGCCGTGTTTTTCAAACGCTGCGTTTCCTGTTTGCTCTGCAGCCGAAATCAGAGAGGCAATACTGAAAGCATTTGCCTTTGGAGAGAGGGGACCGCCGTCGTCCATAGGCAAGAGATCGAGTCGTTAAAAGCCGTCCCTCCTCCTCCTTTTCCCCCGCTTTCCAACCGCGCAGAAAGCAGGAGAAGGCTGTGCACAACGGAGAGGAACATGCGCTAAAATTTGGGGGTGGTTTCTCACATTCCGCCACTGGCTCTCCGTGGGTTCTTATGAAGGTTTTCCCACGATTACAGTGAAGACGCCAAAAAGCCTGGCGATGCTCCGATTTGCGTGACGAACCCCTAAACGCGTCCTGGTGTCAAAGCATAGTTCATCCGCTTAGAAGCGAGAGAGCGGAGTTTCTCCTCCGATCGCTGGCGGGGTGGTGTCATCTGAGTCCTGCCTTGAGGAGAAGCTACTACTGCTGCGAGAATGTCAAAAGTGAGCGAGATCCACGCCTCCCCTGCATCACTGTAAGAAAAAAAAGTGCGCGCGCTCTACACTCGATGTTTTATTTCAATAAGACCTTGTCAGTCATTTGGATTCGACTCCAACGTCACCGCAGTGTCCCGTCTTTAAAGAGCGCCACTTTTCCAGTAAATTACGCGTATGTGCCGGCGTGCGCATACTTAGATTTCTCGAGAGTTTGCGTGGAGCACGAGGAGCAATAACAGCTCCAAATCTGATGAGTGCTTTGTGCGAGGGTTCAGATCCAAAATGCAGTTTTCTTTAAAAAAAGAAATATGGAGACAAAAATAAATATCAAGTAACCCACACATCTGACTTCTTTCTCAGATGCTTTGAACGTTTAGTGAGTAAAAAAGAAAAAGAAAAGAAAAGAAAAGAAAAGAAAGAAAGAAAGAAAGAAAGAAAGAAAGAAAGAAAGAAAGAAAGAAAGAAAGAAAGAAGAAAAAAGCAGAATATAACGAGAATATGTTTTAATCCAAGCAATTATTTATCTGAGAGGCGCAGAGATGGAAACCAGTCAGAATGCAGATGCACTTTTGACTTTTGAGGAGTGTCCAGCCCCTGTGTGCACACATTTTTCCCCAAAAGCCATCACATTCAATTAGTTTCGTGTCAGACACACCTGGATATACACGACACAGACTCGCAGAAACAGCACCCTTGCAGTCAGTAAAAATGAGAAGCATACACACGTGGCATTTCAGGCTGGAGTTGGACTTGACCTCTCCACCTCCCGCCTTCAGTCTCGCTTTGTTGGTTCTCAGCTTATCGAGGTTCAACTTTAATGTGCAGCGACTCAAGATGTGTTTTGCTGGAAGCTGGTGCGATAGCGACCGGATAGAGTTTAATTTACACTGGAGTCAGTGAATTAAGCGTGAAAGCAGCAGCGGGGTTCTAATGGGATAAAGCAGTTAGAGGATTAGGCCTATTTGTTTTGGATGTTTCTCCATGGGAGGCAGGGAGCATAAATAAACCCCTCCTAGATAGATAGATAGATAGATAGATAGATAGATAGATAGATAGATAGATAGATAGATAGATAGATAGATAGATAGATAGATAGATAGATAGATATAAATCGAATTGGTTGATTTATTTTGCATTGATCGCTGTCAAAATATTGTAAACCATCACCCACATGATGTATTCCTCCCGGCAGTTTTTTTTTTTTTTTTTAAATCTGATATGATGCCATCGATACCGGCTCACTTCATCATTGCCAAGTCGGAAGCCTCCTTTGTAAATAGTTAGGTGATAACAGACAAAATACAGGAGCTCAGCGAAATGGGAAGAGACTGTGTCGGAATTCGCTCAGCCGAGGCACAGTGGACTCAGTAAAATGTGAGCCTGAAGATAATAATAATAATAATAATAATAATAATAATAATAATAATAATAATAATAATAATAAATTCGCCCAATACGGGAATATTCAGACCAGCAACCCAAAATAAAGGCATAGCAAACTCTTGCTTGAGTGAATAAAATGCTGAATTTGAAGCTTCAGGGCGACGGAAATTGGGATTTTTATTTTGCCTGTTAGAAAGAGATAAACTCATTTTTGCATCGTGGAAAAAAATAAAAATACCTGCAAACTTTATGTTAACAACAACAAAACAAGATTTTAACGCTGATGATCATAAAAAGGCAGCCAGGCTGACCAGAGTTTAGTAGTTTTCCCTTTGTTTTGTGTTGATTTTAAGCGGCTTTACGCGTTTTTATTGAGTTAAACGGAGCTTTGTGTTTGGACTCTTTGGGCCTTTTTACTCTGTACTCTCTGATAGAGTCTGCAGACTCTGTCACGAAGAGTTTAGCTCATATGGTGCAAAGCTGACATCTAGACAAAGTGAGCAAAGTATGTAAACAGCTCCGGCAAACAGCTCTCACTGATTAGAGGATGCAGGCCCGAACAGCATTTCTTGGCCCACTGGCTGATGGATGCAGAACAGGAATATGTGACATCAGGTAAGGTGCTGTTGATCTCTGAGGATAAAATCACTTTTACTCAACCCGGAGTCATTTTTTACTGAAAAGTCCATGAAGGAAACGATATTTTCTACCGAGGCCAAATTAGGGACTAAGTGCTGTAACAAAGCATCTGAATGAATTTATAATTGTAGGCTCGTTGTGGAAATTAAAGGCCATTCTTGGATTTGGTGATTTGAAAGTTCCTGAAAAGACATTCAAACATTTTACTTTGGTGTTTGACTTGAAAGTACTCTTGATACAAATAAAAACACGTGAATTTAATATTTTTTTCTGTAAGAAAGAGCTAAGTGAACTTTGAATTTTAATTACGCATGATGGCTCTGCTGACACGGAGTAATTCGACATTTTCACCTGGAACTCTTTATTTTAAAATTTTATTGTGGTTAATTAATGCACCGCAAAACGCATTCATGCTTTAGACTGCGCTCCAGTTTTTCCTCTCATTAATACAGGATATGCTTACTTCAAAGTAAGCACAAGTAAGCATACCCTGCATAAAGGTGTAAAGCTATTCTTATTTCTGTTAATGAAGAGACAATAATGATTTGGGGTATCAAAACCACTCTGGTGATGAGTGCCACTTTAAATTCAAATCATAGTTTTTTTTTTTTTTAATAATTTAAAAATATGTTTGCACTTGCTTCGGTCCTATTATTTACCTGATCTGCCGTTGTTAACCTCCAAAGGTGACAGAAGCCAACAGAAGGTAAACCTAGAGAGACTTTGAGCCAGTTGCCGTGCGTCTTGACGCACAAGAATATTCGCGCAAAAGTTTTCCGATAACAATTTTCCAGGATGGTGTGATTGTACTTCTGTCTCAGCGACAGTGCTTCTACACGTTTGGGCAATCAGTCACTCACACACCGCACATATTTATGTTGTCGGTGGTCTTCCTGATGGTCTCCTACAAGAGAACCGCTGGCTTCTGTTCCTCCAGTAGGAGAGGCCTGTGTGGTCCTGTATGTCCTGTTTGTGGTAACATGACAAATCACCAAACCACAACCTCTTGCCCGTGCCTCATTAAATTGCACAGATCCATCGTGAAGGCATCGATGGTTGCTATTTTCGTGTTATTAGTAAACAGAGATGTGATTGGGTCGTCGGGATATCTGCATGGACATGTGGGCGCGCGCTGTCTCCTCTGCGTCTTTCTGCTCGATCCCTCTGCTTCTCCCAGACACTCAAACTAAAAGAGCTTATCATCTCCTCTGATGTTTGTACCTGTGTGTCGTGGAGATGTTTAATTAGGCTGTCTGTGCCGCAGTCAGCCTGATAAGATTATTATTTACGCGCTCATATTATTTGACAGACAATAAATCATAGCATCTTCCGCTGGTTATAAAAACAAACAAACAAACAAACAAAAACACAACAAACAAACAAAACAATGATTTGCACATTCTACCCGAAGCTATTGAGACCTGTGGAGACTCCACGTATAAAACTCCGTGCTATCTAAATAATGGTCAAAATCTCAGCATATAGAGAACTGAGTGAGAGGAAATACGCCGCTGACCGCTAACAGCAGAAGGCCCGGGGTGTCCACGCTCAGGGAACGCACAGAGGCGCACTTTACGCAGGAGGGAAGACTAAAACATGCCTCATATACAATCATGACAAGGAAAACTCATGCAAATAAAGTTCTAAACATAAATAAAATGAACTTAATTTAACTGAAATAGAATATATTTATTTTCAACTCCCGTAAAATAAATATAAGCAAGCGAGCCGTTGATTAAACTTATTCTAGAAAAACGCTCTAATTTATGATTTTTGTGTCAGTTAATATGAAATACATGTATTTATCAATAAAAACAGTGCAAGTAAATGTTATAAGTTGCTACCGGAAACTCTGATGGTTATTAATAGGGCTAATAATAATAATCCCCCCCCCCCCTCAAAAAAAAAAACAAAAACAAAAAACCAACAAAAAAACTAAACTAAACTAAAAACACACATTTCTTTTGCTATAATATAACCCAAGCTTTGTAGGAATAACTCATCATAATGCGATCTTTTTTCGGTTAAGTAATCAGATAGAAATTTATTATTATTATTATTAAAGTCTCTCATGTAAAACATTAAAAAGGGACATGTTGTTTGTCTTTTCAGTCGATGGAAACGTTCTAGTTTCTTACAGCGCTATGGTCTAATTTTGTAGGCTGCTTCAGTTTGTGAATGCCTCCATTTACTTGTACGGTTAACAAAAATGTTCCCCCTTTTCCCCTAAATGAGCTGGCATTTTGAGTTTTTTTCACTGCAAAAAAAAGTCCAAACATTTGACCACAGCGATGAATATTTCTCTTATGTCCATCATAATTTTGTTTTTCATTGGGCTATTTGTAAGTCCGTTTCTAGGATCTGTCACTGAGTGGTTAGTTGGATATTTTGAAGCCTTTCCCCCGTGGAGTCGTTCTGTTGGCATTAAGAATAAATGAGAAAAATCGTTGATATAAACTCGTTATTATGTGCACGCAAATTTAAAATCGTATTGTTACGATTTTAACAATGGCGCAATGTGGCGCTTAAATACCGACGGAATTTTGCGCTCATGCGGTGTTCCAGATGTTAGCAGAGCTACCGCATCCTCCAATAGCCTTTCAGCCATGCGTAAAGGCGCACAGTAATGGAAATATGCCACCAAAGCAGTATTGCATAAAATGTAATCTAATAACATGCAAAGTATAATAAGACGTGTTCCTTCCGTATCTTATGTGAATTAATTTATTGTGAATGTTTTATAATTGGTAGGAAATCTATTTGTCTTTTTGGAGGGGCTCTTTCTTTTCTTTTCTTTTTCTTGGAACATTACACTGAATGCTTTAGTTTTAAAAAAAGAAGGAAAAAAAATGAGCACATTTCCGTGCTGACATATTAATGTGCTTTTCCTGTCCAGCCCTGTTCTTCTTTGTATTTGGGGTCATCATAAAA